ATTTTGCTTGCTCACAACAGTCCTCTGAAACTGCTATTACTTCTGCCTACTCTCTTTTTACTGGTGAAGAAACAGAATCAAAGAGGGAGACACTTGTCCAAGATCAAACAGCCAGCAAGAGGCACAGCTAGCCTGATACTCGGGTCTGATGCTAGAACCTGTGTTCTCCACACTGTAAGGTGTTGCCTCAAGCACCTGCTCCCAACCTATTTCTGCAAGGATATTTGCATCTTTTCAAACAAGCATTGAAATGAGGCATGATATTATTGGATTTTAGGTTTAGAGAATTACCAGGGTAGGAAAGGAAGAGAAAGAGCCAGAAAGTAGTTCCTCAGCTGAGGGAGTAGGACTTTCTTTTTTAAAATACGCATTAAGGAGTGCCTGGGTGGCTCAGTAGTTAAGCGTCTGCCTTCGGCTCAGGTCATGATCCCGGGGTCCTGGAATCAAGCCCTACATCGGGCTCCCTGCTCCGCGGAAAGCCTGCTTCTCCCTCTCCCACTCCCCCTGCTTGTGTTCCCTCTCTTGCTGTGTCTCCCTCTGTCAAATAAATAAAATCTTAAAAAAATATATGCCTTAAAACCCCAGTTGAGGGGCGCCCAGGTGGCCCAGTCGGTTAGTATCTGCCTTTGGCTCAGGTCATGATCCCAGCGTCCTGGGATCAAGCCCTGTGTCTGGGTCCCTGCTTAGCAGGGAGCCTGCTTCTCCCTCTCCCTCTGCCCCTCCCCCATCCCCCCGCTCGTGCTCTCACTCTCTCACTGTTGAAAAAATAAAGTCTTTTAAAAAATAAACAAATAATTTAAAAATAAAATCCCAGTTGACTACTGCAAGGAACACTTCTGTGAAGATATTTTCCATCTGTCAATTCAAGGCAGGGGCCCAGCATCTCAGAGTTGGAAGGGAGATCACCCAACCTAGCCAAAACAAGAATCCCAGCCAGTGTCACCTAGCCTCAGATGTCACCAAACCAGAGAATCCATTGTTGGGCAAGGTAGCCCAATACACTACATAGCAGTTCTCGTGCCTTCTGCCCACTGTTCCAATTCTTGTAGTCTAAAGTAACGCAAAAGATGTTCATTTGTTTGTCCATTCAAGATACACACTCATCATCCTCAATCTACCAGACACTGTGTTAAGTGCTGGAAATATACTGGAAAACAAAAGAGACATAGCCCCTGACCTAAGGAAGCTCACAGTCTGAAAGAATGACTCAGAATAAGTGGAGGATCTCTATGACACATCAGCCCTTCAGACCCTTAGAGACAATTCTCATATTCTCCCTAACTTTCCTCTTCCTGGTGTGTGTGTGTGTGTGTGTGTGTGTGTGTTTAAGATTTATTTATTTGAGAGAGAGAGGGAGAGCACAGAAGGAGAAGCAGACTCCCCGCTGAGCAGAGAGCCCCATGTGGGACTCAATCCCAGGACCCTGAGATCATGACTTGAGCCGAAGGCAGATGCTTAACTGACTGAGCCACTGAGGCACCCTTCTTCCCGGTGTTTTCAACCATTTACCATGGCAATTCTGGTCACCAACCTCCAGACACACTCGAAGTTGTCCATGCCCCTCATGGGCATAGGGTTAGTCGTTGATGCCAGCCAGGGAATCCAGTCAGGGAACACAAAGCATAATGAATTTTAATGAAAGAGTAGGGTTGTTGGAAGCATAAGAGATAATTAATGGCTGTGTACATAGCAAGTACTCAGAAAGGGATTGCTTTCCTTGGTATTATTATTATTATTCAGGCCACATTTGACAGAAATCTAGCCAAGATTCTGCTGACTGGCCAAGGTACCCACACTTATGAGCAAAGCTATATTCTATCAAAGCATATTTTATTTAATTTTAAGCAGACAAGCCCCCATGCCCTCTACCCTACTTACTTATATCAATGCAATGGAGATCATCATAGAATTTGTCCCCTGCCAAGCCTCCATGGATGAAGAGCTTTGTCCCTGCTGCCACCATCACATGACCATGCCGGGGGGATGGAGGTTTTCCAAGTGTCTCTGGCTGTGACCAGGTCAGAGTGTCTAGAAAAGTAAATTCATTGACATCAGATGAAAAAGCTAGGAAGAACATGAGAAACAGACCCAAGCTTCATTTCCCAGCAAGCAGAGATGCTCAAAGCAGAAAGTGACCTTGGGGTCATTCACTCCAACGTGCCAACCCAATCCAGGCCTCCCTTCTCCTACAGCCTGTACAGCCTCGGCCTGAACACTTCTGGGGCTGGAGAATTCACTACCTAACAGGCCTGCCCTCTCTACAGGGCATTAGGAGACTATTCCTTGCTTTGACCTGGAACTGCCCCGGAGTTCAAAAGAATGAGTCTGCTTCTTCCCTTACAGGCCTTCAGTCTTCCTTTTTCAAGACGATATCTTTAATTGATTTGCTGGAAGCATGGGGGAAAAAAAGGACTACTTTGGAAGTTAGCAGGGCCTGCTAAAGTGGCAGTATAGGGTGAGAGTCAGAACACAAGGCATGGAGTTAAAACTGGCTCATTTCACTGAATAACTTTGTGGCCTTGCACCAGTGAATTCCTTAAGCTCTAGTTTTTACAGTTGTAAAATGGGGATAAAGATACTACCTAGCTCTCAGGGTTAAAGTATGGACTAAATGGGATGATGTACATAAAGCACAGGCTCAGAGGAAGCACTCAGTGCATGAGAGTTTGTGTTAGAATTACTGTTTGTGCCTGAAGATTGTGCATGGAGCCCCACTGTTCGAAGGAATACAGTTTGAAATAATCTGAAAAAGGTTTATGCACAAACACATTCATCACAGCATTGTTTGTAATAGAGAAGAACTGAAAATAGCTTCAGTGCACCAACAGGTGACTGGTTGTTATTGCTACAGTCAAGATAGAATACTATGTATTTACTAAAAATGTTGATAATTGAGGCACCTGGCGGGCTCAGTCAACAGTGCATGGGACTCTTAATCTCAGGGTCAGTTCAAGCCCTACATTGGGCGTGGAGCCTACTTAATACAAACAAATAAATAAAAATATTGAAGACTTCATGATCACAGGGGAAGTGCTTAAGTGAAAAATATAGGATACAATATTACATGTAGAATTATCTCTGCTATTTTTAAAGATTTTATTTATTTTATTAAGTAAACTCTACCCCCAATGAGTGCCATGCTCTACCAACTGAGCCAGCCAGGT